AAAGCAGTGAGCAAATTTGGTACGATGCCGAAGAATGCGCGAATTGATGCCTATTTGGAATCGATGTCCTCACAGACTGAAAATGAGCCGTCGAATTCACCGAATGCAAGTGCTGAGTACAGTGGCGGTTTATCGGATGATTCCTTGGATGCTCTTCCCGCTTCTTACAGCAACGGTTGGAACAACAGGTTGGTTACTGCAAATTTCTGGAATTAGATATGGATTAAAAAAGCCTCCTTGCATGACAACCAATTTTTAAATATACCGACTGCTGTTTGATTGATGTCTATCGGCTGGGAATTTTTTTTTGTACTGCTAAAACGCAGACAAATGAAGCCGCCTTCGGGACGTATTAGGATGGAGGCTTTGGAAGAACTGTTATTTCGAGGATGAGAGGGAAGAGCTTGGAGAATTGGTTGATCGGTTGCAAAAAAAGGGATAGAGAATTGGCAAAGATGTGTCAGAAGAAAACGATCACTGCTTATGGTTTAGATGAAATGTATTAGAAAGGGTAACAACTGTGGAAGAGGACTTGTCTGAAGTAAAACACTCATCTGGTCTCATTTATCTATACTGGGGAATGTCGCCAAAAGGCGACATTTATTTTAATATTGTATATTTTTTTTATGGCATATGTTAATATTTGATTTTTTATGTTGTGTGTATGAATCATATAGTATGTGTTTTTTATGTAAAATGTACTTTATGCATTTTTTATGTAAAATATTATTTATCCTTTTTATCGCCGACTGTAATACCGGCGATATTTCCCGAAGTCCCAATTTTTCTCAGGATGCTTTTATTATCTTTTATATTCTTGACGCCTGATCGCCGAAAGGCGATAAGGTGTTTGTTGGACCCTATAAAAGCCCCGGTATCTTGCCTCCTCTTTATTCTTGTTCTTCACATTCGAGTATTTGACCGCTCATCGGCTTCCTCTTCACGACATCGTCTCGGCCCTCGGCCTTCATATTCCAGAGCTCGACCGCTCATCGGCTCTCTCCGTGACATCGTCTCGGCCCTCTGCCTCCATCACACCATCTCGACTGCTCCACGGCTGCTCCTTCACGATTGCATACTCCGTTCCCGATCACGTCTAGTCTTGAACTAATCGTCTGTTCCTTCTCCTGCCCAACCGGACAACTTGAATTGTTACTGTATTACTACACGTAAATATACTAAGTAAACCATCGATTTTTCCCGCCTTTGCACTTCTTCTCATCCTGACAGCAAGAAAGGCGCCAAATTACGCCACAGGGAACATCTCATGCAACACGTAGCAAACCACTGTTAAAAAAAATTTTTTTGTATTGGGCTCTGTTTGAAATAATTTTTGATACAGGAATGCGATGGATCAAATGAGCGAAAGCGTTCACTTTGGTCAGAATGAGTTGCTGCAACAACTGAAACAGCGCTTGAAGAAAACGAAATCCGAATCGCCTGTAACTGCAGTTCCGAGATTTCCTGAGACCAAAAAAATCTGTACGGAACGAGCGCAGCAGCCCTCTTCAGTAAAAACAGACGCGAAGCTAAAAAAAGTTTGATTTTTTTGATCTGGATAATTACATTATTGTTAAACAAGAAACTGCTTTGCACCAGCGAAATAGGCACGATCAGCCATTTACCGATAGTGATATGCATTTTTACTGACAGCAAGACTGCTCTTTTGAATGGTTCTTCTGTTCAACACTGAATTTTATAATATATTTACGGTTTTTTCTTTGAAACAGTAAAAGAAGTGGTTTTGTAGTTTCGATTTAATTCATTTTGAAAAGCATATTTGACGGGCATAATTGACAAGAAGTGGTTTCTTCTACAGTCGTAGAATCGTTGTCTTAGCGGTAATGAATTGGAAATTTATTTTGTTAGTTTCATGAGATAGAGTGGAATGAAGAAAGTGATTAGTTCTTTTTCTTATCATC